ACCCCTTGAAATAATATTAAATTTAAATGTCAAGATAATCATAGTAGACATTTCTGCTTTTCCTGATAATATTTGTCCTCATAATGGTAAATTAGAAAATTAGCAATAATTAAGTTACAGTTTGACAGAATTCAAGCCAGAAATTGACATATAGGATCTGAAGCAATAAACAAAATCTAAAGGATGAGACAACTGCAGAATCTAATTTAAGAAAATGGATTAGTAACCTCTAATCAATAAGCAAGTACTGCTGATATGGCAACAACAGAAGCACCAATATCGATAAAAGCTGCAGCTCCACCACCTCCTGAAACAACAAAACCCCCAGTCACAACAACTTCTACTACTACTTAGCCAGTATTTTGCAAAACTTATTTTGATATCAACCCAAATCCATCTAATACTTCCTGGGAAGGAAACTACTGCAAAGTATGCAACAATTAAACTCATGTAAGAGTGTTCTTGACTGATAGAATTACTTGTGCCCCTGCTATTAAGCAACAAGGAATATGCTAACTAAATGGAAGATATAATACTTAGGGACAAACCTTTGCTCTATATCAAGTTTAACATTCTTAAGAAGAAATATGCTACAGTAAGTTAATTTCTAGTTATATTACTATGAGTATAATTGAAACTATTTAGACTGTCAGGCGCTATTTCCTGGGTGTGCAGATTGCTCTTAAACTGCAGAACAACTATGTAGCTATTCTAATATATTCATAGATTTATTTAGCTAATTCCTAAGATATGGCAGCTCTGTTTTAATAAAGTGTAGGATGCACAACATGTGCAAAAGGGTTTAGCAAGCAAATAGTAAGATATGAGTATGGACCATTCTTTTTGAGAAAGTGTGTAAAAGGTTAGCCTTCACCACTACTAGATTAGCTTCTTTGGCATTAAACGCTAATCAAAATTGGAGATAATGTTGAAATAAAGGGTAATTCCTTAGATTATATTTTCTTTAGATTGCTAAAGTTTGTATTATAAGTGCATCGGATGTAGTAATATTAGTTGTATAGCCTGTGATAGAAACTATTATAGAGGATCAATCAAAGATTCATCATTAAAATCTCAGTCAATTTGTCTATACAATAAGTGTGGTATCAATGGTTTTGGACCTGACTACTCAGAACCTTCTACTCTCTGTAGAGGTAATTAACTTTTTGCTTTGATTATATAATAGCTTGTACTATTTCGAAATGTAAAGCATGTTCATTCAATACAGCCTCTTTTCAAAACTGCTTACTGTGCGAGCCTGGATATTATCTAAACAATAACCTTTGTGTTGTAATAATACTATTTATTTTTAAATTCAAAGGCTCAATCTGGAACTTAGACTAAAAATTTCTTTATTTTGCCGTTTGCAGGGACAGAAATTACGCCTGGATCAAAGCAACAAAAAGCCTTGTATATAAATAATGGCACTCATATACATGCTCCTTTTCTGTTTGTTCAATAAGCCCTTAGCTAAATAAACAAAGAAGCTCCATAATATCAGAAGTACAATGCTACGATTTGGTTAATGAAAGGGGATCATTTCTTTTTTTATTGTAATGGTGTTACAAAATTTGATCCATAGTAGCCTGTCTAATTAGAATTTTGCAACCCTGAATCAATGCAAAACTCCTATATTAAAAGCAACAATGTTTATCTAAATGTTAGAGCTCTTAGTTGTGAAAAACTGTCATCTATAGGTTATACTTTTGTTGGGGGAGGTGAGCTTAAGGAGTATTGCATATTCTTAAACGGTTTTGAAGAATTCCCAAAGCTATACATAAACTCAAACATGTTTTACTTCAACATTACTCGATATGCATATTTTGAAAATGTATTCTTTGATGGTTCAAATTAATATGGGTAAGTATTGATTAATGTAATAACACCGAATGGTGTCACCAATCAAATAAAAATTGAAAATGAAAAGCTCTCAATAATTCCATTCAAAAAATGTGACGTAAACGAAGACAGTTCAAACAGTTAAAATAGAATTTCATTTTCTGAGAATTAGAAATAGATTTTAGTAAAGGGGCTTAAGGTGAATCTCACTTGTGTAAATAATGAGCAAGATAAATTAGTGTCTTAGCCTAACACTTCGAGCGATGCTTGTACTGCTTTTACAACCATTGATTCATAAACTCAATGCTCTGGAGAGCCTTACAGTGAAGATTTTTATCAGTATGATGAGCAATAAACTGGAATGCCTTTTCTAAGAAGAAAAGTTTTATTTAACATTTACTCTTTTGACAGAGCTAATTCTAACGAAATGAGTTCGCCATAACTTATCTTGTCTGGCTGTACCTTCCAGTATTTTGTGAATAATTACGAGGCATTAGTTTACGTCGAGAATAATAACTACTATAGTGAAGGATAGAGAAAAGGAGAGAGTTTTGTATTTCTAGGAGAAGATAGAGGAATGTACCTTCTCATAAAATCTTCTGTATTTAGAAACTCTAGATTTTGTAAAGGTATGATTGTTTATAGAAGAATGCCTTTCACAATTGATAATACTATCTTTAATATGACCCATTAATCTATTAGCAGTTATGAAGATTACTAATACAGTGAGGCTCAAATAATTATTTCAGATTCTGAGTTTACATATCTAAATTGGATATCAAATACCACTGGAATGGCATAGTATTTTGCTAATGAAGGTTACAATCAAAGAATGAATACAAATAACAAGATTAGTGTCCCAAATTTTTACCATAAGGGAATTATCCTAAATATTGAAGATTTCTAGGGACCTGTTGAGTTTTCAGGGTGTAAATTTGTGAAAAACATGATTTATATCCCAGAAATTTACTTTTAACCCCATTATGTTAGCCAAAAGAACTCTATCTAGACTTTCTAATCAAGAGAAGAATTCATTTATAGATTCAAAATATGTGATAGTGACACTAATAAAGCTAAATATTTCATGGATACAGGCTTCGACTATAATTCAAACTTAGACAGTATGTTCAATGATTTCGAAAGACTCAGTGTCATTTATATTTCAAGAAATCAAGGAAATATCATTTTCCACAATAATAAGTTCACCGACAATATTGGTATGTATGGTGGTGCTATTACTATCAATAGTCCGAATTTCAAAAATGGCAAAAACTCATTCGTTATCATCAACAAAAATATATTCTACTATAACATGGCATATGTTTCAGGGAACAGCATTTATATAAGGACAACCAAAATACTTTAAAATTTCAATGAGTAGTGCGGAGGAATATATATGAACGATAATTACTTTTTCAGAAATATTGGAATGAAGAAGCATAATGGAGGTGCTATTGCTCTTTATTGTGATTAGCTCTAAGAAAATGATGAAATTGATTATTAAAGGAACTCAGAAATCAATTATTCTAGTAAAACAAATGTAACCCTCAAAGATTTCATTAATCCTGACATATATTACTCTTTCAATCCAAATCTTACAACGATTCAAAATAGTATATTTGAAGAAAATCTATCAGGAGGGAAAGGACTAGCAATTTATTCCAGATACATGAGTAATTTAGTTATACATAGATGCAATTTTACTTTGAATGGCCCAGTTCTCGGTTATTAAGAAGTATTTTATTCACCTTATTATAGGCTTTTGTCAAATAAATAAAGATTAGTATCTTACGGCGAGGATTCATTTGCATGTTTTGATGAAATCGAATATTTATAAAAATGTGCTTTGCTAGATTTTACAATTGATTTTCCTGTTGCAAATGTAATAATAGAAATTGTTTTAAACATTCTAAAGGGAGTTGTATACATCTAGCATTCGAATGAGTTGATATATCAAGCTAACTCAGTCAATTTAAAAGCCAACATATCATTCTCAAATTTTTTTAGTAATGAGATAGGACCATATTTAAACTAAGATGTGAAAATGTAGAGAGCACTAGCAATATATATTTTAAATGGTTTTGAAAATGTAATTAGTGATAGGATTTATGTTTAATTTAATAGGCTATTAATAATTGCAGTTTTTATGGATATAATGGCATGTATTTGCCAGAGTAATTAAAGTCTAGAGCTCCTATAATGTATAGCTGTATAGAATTTCATTGTATATAAGAACTTATAGATTTGCCCTTTGATTATTTTCTAAGCTACTAAGCACCAGTAATAACTATTGAAGTAACTGGAACAATTTCATCTAAGTTTGGATATTTTAATTCAACAATATCAAATTGCTCATTTTACAGCATGAACTTCTATTAGGTATTATTATTTGAAAATTAGAACGTCCAATTCAATGGAGCTATCATAAATTATCTATCCTAAATGGCTTTTGGCAACAAATTTGGGTAAATTATAATCCATTCATGTCTCTAGATCATATCTATTTTTGGTGAATAATAACTTTAGAGATATTATTGTCAAGGGGGAAAATTTAGGTTTGATTAACATCAGAGATGGATTTTTGAATGCAAGCAGAAACACATTTTAAAATATCGGGCATCTGAGTCAAAACAAGATTTTTAACAACCCCAGCAATTTCACTTTTAATTCAAGGAATGTTGCTTTCTAGTATAATTAATATTAAATCACTGAGAGTATGAACTATGGAGCATTTAAGATTCAATTTAGAAGTAAGTTTATTTGGTATTTTAGTTATTAAATTAAAGATATGATGCCTCCAGGACATTAGTTTTACTTTGATAGTAATTAATTCAAGTATATTTTCTGTGAAAAGTAAGTCAAACAATTTCATTTATTTTTACCTATATCTTTGAGGTTGCAATTGATAATGCTTTCAGTGCTTATCACATTCTCCTCTTGATATAAATATGCTCTATTAAACACCATAAGTTCTCATTTAGTTATCTAATACGCTGAAGCTTTAATAAATTTTACAAGACATTATTTATTAGATTTTAACTATTTTTTTAGAGGTTGTGCATATAGCTTTACTTCAAGTCGTAATTGAGATCTATTCCTAATAGTTTAAATTTAGATTAGTTGCAAGCTGAATTTGTGAATAATACCTACAAGTATATATTTAGTATGCACGGGTCAGTTCTATATTCATTCTTTGATAAAATATCAGTTGGTGCTCCCTATCTTTAATTTTCAAATGAAGTGATTTCAGAGTAGTATAACTATGATTAAGGAGCATTTTCCTCTCAAATAAATGAAAATTTACAAATCATTAATATGACTAATATGACATTTACGAATTGCTATGCTTTGCAAGGCTCATTCATATATATTGATAAAGGAGGGGCATTGTATTGTCGTGAGTGTCTTTTTACTAATACCACTTGGTCAACTTAATTATCAAGACTTTAATAAGCTACCAATTAATTCTAAAGTGGGATAAGACTCAATAATAATCTCACCTTATTCATTGATTCGACATAATTAAACATTTTAATGGGTATTAATACTTAAGCTGGAAATATATACATGAAAGGTTCATAGAATAATGTGTAAAATATCATAAGCTTTAAAAGTTAGAATTTGAATATTAATAACGGAGATGAGTCTCGATACTCCAGGTTTATTGATTGTACATTCGTCAATTTAACAGCAGATTTAGGTAGAAATTATATTTCTATTAACTATATTTAGGCTCAGTATTTTTTCTATAAAATTCATACTTATAATTAAAAAACACCAAGAGAAATGATACTGGAAAATACAGGATATCCCAAAATAAAGCGATTTTGGGAACAATTAATATCCTTGACAACTCTTATCTTCAATTGATTAATATGAGAATTGATTAGAATTATGCTTATCAAGGCTCAGCATTATCTTCTCAATCCTCCTATACTTTTATTAATAATACAAGTATCTTTGACAATATTGTTTCTAATAAGGGGACCTTTTACGTGATAAACTTTTCTAACTTAACTATTAACTATGCTTTAGTAAATAATAATACAGCCAAAGAGGATTCTAGTTTCATTTTCTCACTTTATAACGATATTTATATGCTAATAAACATCAATAATAGCATAATTACTAACAACAAAGCAGGAGCAAATACTATTAATCTGATTTATTCTCAGATAAACATTACTAATACGATTTTGCAAGATAACATTGCTGAGAAAGTTAATCATGGAATAACACTTATCAGCTCTTAAGCTTTTCTGAATAACATCACTGTCAACTATACGAATTAGCTATTTTTTTCAAATTAAGATTCTTATGTTGAGTCAGGTTTCCTAAATCTTAATTTCTAGTCTATTCTTTATTTGAAAAACTCATTGATTCTAAATTGCAGAGGGAAAATCGCTGCTGTTCTTTATGCTACAGGAAGTAAAATATTTAGGGATAATATAATTTTTAGGCAGCTAAGTTTATTTATACGGTGGTACAAAGATTATGAAAGCTTATTCTTCAACAGGCTAAATAATCTAACTACTTTCTACATAGTCGGCAATTTTTGATGGATTAACAATGGCTGAAAACTATTAAACTAATATTTACTTCGAGTCAACTAATCTTATTATTAAAAATGCTTTGTTTGAAAAATCAAATAAAACTTTTCTTGAGGCAAAAAGTTCTAGTCTAGAAATGTTGACTGTTGTAATGAGAGATAACTCTAATTTGGATGTATATTATTTTTTACTGATCTTTTATATTATAGGAGGGAGGAACTGGCATTTATTGCAATTGTCACACTGTATTAATTTAGAATTCAACTTTCAAATATTTGGTGGGAACTTTAGGTGCTGCAATTTACTTTACATCATTTTCAGATAGTAGTTTCATAGTAATATATTAAACTACTTATTAATGATTTCAGATTACTTAGTCTTCATTTGAAAACAATATTGCTAAAAAAGGAGGAGCAATTTATATAGAATAAGCATAAGAGATAACATTAGTTTCTAATACCTTTAAGAATAATTCAGCTAAAAGGTTAGATGATTAAGTCAAAATAGAATCATATATGGGAGGGGCAATTTATTTTAAATGCTTACCAACTTCAGGATTAAATTGCTAACTTAGACTTAATTAGAAGAATGCATTTGTAAACAATTCAGCATCTAATTCTGGTGGTGCAATAGCCTACACAAATAAAAAATTCATTGATGATGGTACAACTTAATATGTTAACAATAGCGCTGCTTATGGCTCATCTTATTCAAGCTTTCCTTAGAATCTTGGGTTTTAATTCATATCAAATAATGACTATATTAATACCCATGACTATCTTTCCTCAAACAAATAAGCTTTCAATAAAGAAAGAAATTTGGAAACTAATATTCTTGGCAAGTTCATTATAGTCTCGGGAATAGGATTTTCTTTTACTATAACTATGTATGATTAAGAGGGGAAGTAAATGCTTGAAGAGAATTCAGCTGTTGCATCTCTAAAATTAAACTAAACGTTTGGAATTTCTGAAATTGTTCTATCCAACAATGAGGCAGTAGCTTTAAAGGGAATATTCAATTTCAGTAATGTTCTTTTAATTGCTAAACCAGGATCAAAAATAGGTAAAATTTTCTCAATTTTGATAAGTTCCAATAGTTTTATAATTACAAATAACTGGCTTAGAAAGCTATGGAAACTCTATATCTTATATAGATAATCCAGTCTTATTTCTAGCTGAAACAAGATTATGCATTGCTGGTGAATAGTATACAACTGACCATAGGTGCAATAAGTGCCCTATTTATACCTACAACTACTTCCCTCCACTAAATGCGACAATTTGTAAAGCATGTAGTATGTATGCTTAGTGCTTCAATGGTACCTCTGTTAGTCCTATTTCTGGCTATTGGAGAAGTAGCAACACTAGTGAAAGCTTTATTAGATGTCCTAGAGTTGAAAGTTGCTAGTAATTTTAGATTTATTTTAATTACTTAATAGAAAAGGAAACTAACTAAATCCTTTGGGTTAATGTTCAGAAGGTTATGAAGGAATAGTTTGCGCAAATTGCAAGCCTGGATTCTCTAAGATATCTAACTTCTAGTGCAGTAAATGTCCATCAGCCACTTAAAATACTATTAAGCTCTTCTTTATACTTCTCTGCGCTGTACTTGTTGTAGTGTTTCTCGTTAGATCAACACTTCTCAGTGCAGATAAATAAAAACCAGTATATTCAGTCTATCTCAAAATCATTGCAAATCATTTTCAACTAATTGGTACAATATCAAATATTGAGTTCAGTTGGCCTTATGAAATTCAAATGTTGCAAGACTCATAATAGCAAGTTTCAGGCGTTTCTGAATAAATATTTTCATTTGATTGTTTCTTAATGGGTGATGACCAATAAGAATCATAAGATGCTGAAATATACTATATGAAATTGATTTTTTATGCTGTTTTACCAGCTATGTTATCATTAATCGCGCTTTTGTATTGGCTTTTGCACTCAGCTATTAAAAGAAGTTTTGTTGATATGAAAAATTCACTAATATCTACAATTGTTATACTTCTATTTTTAATACATCCTAATATTGCCAAATCAATGTTTTCTTCTTTTAATTGTATGGATATTGATGGTGAACTAAGATTAATGCCTGATTTATCATAAAAATGTTTTTAAGGAAGTCATTCTGGATATATACTAGCAGTTTCATTTCCATCTGTGATTATTTGGGCTCTTGGAATTCCTGCTTTTGCTTTGATATTACTTATGAGGAATAGAAAAATTATTTTGCAGATTGAAAGCAGTTAAAACTTGTCTAAGGCAGATAAATGGACTATTAAAAGAATTAAGACTAGGCTAGGTTTTCTATTTAATGGTTATAAAATAAAGACATTTTATTGGGAGATAGTAATTTTGTATCGAAAAATCTTGATTGTTATGATCACTGTATTTCTCTCTAGCATATCGCCAGAAACTTAGGTTTTAGTTGGATTGATAGTAATTCTGATAAGTATTCTTTTGCAGGTTAAATTTAGACCCTATTATACAAGTACTCTTAATACAATGGAGTCCTATTCGTTGCTTGTTAGTGCAGTTACCCTATACTCAGGTATGTTTTATATTACTGGAAAATACTATAAATATATGGAAAATGATGGAGTAAAGTGGTTTTTCTTGATTTGTATTGCTTTGCCAAATGCAATTTTTCTTGGCTACTGGACTTACAATATGGGAATAGAATTTTTAAAGCTTATTCTGCAATAAAATAGACCAAAATTATTTAGATTGCTTACTTGTGCTCGAGTAGATATTACTAGATTTAAGAGGAAATATATGAAAGAAGTCAAGAATTAATTTAATGATGATGAAGAGGATGACTAAGAGGATATAGTCGATGATAACTATGACAGAGCATTAAAATATAGGATAGATTAAACTGATCCATCATAGAATGATAACCTACTCTAGGTGAATGATACAAGAAGAACTAGTGGCAAAGTTACAGCTAGATATACAGAAATTGAGGGAGAGTTAAACTAACAAAGCTTTCTGCAAAATGATAGAAGCAATCTCTAAGATGATTTTAGCTTTATTGGAGATTAAATTTAAACAGTGATAAATGGAAAAAATAAATTAGGCTAAATAGCCATTGGTGGAGTTGTTAAATTAGAAAATGACATTAAGACTGAGAAAGAGGCTAGAATTTTTGGAGATCCTGTTGAGACTTAGCCTGAAGTTGATGAGATTAAAGAATAAGCAGAAATTCTAGATGTAAATGACATTAAAGTAGAATCTAATGATGATCAAAAATATTTAACTTAAAATTAAGAATAAACTAACCCAGATTCAATAATAAACATCTAGCAAGTGGAAGTAAATTTACTTACAGAGAGAAATAAGAAAATGTTTGAAGACTCTTTTGGTCAAGGAATGATGAAAATTCCAAAGCTCAAATTAGAATCTGGTTTTAAAACATCTAGAAATAACAATAATGACTAATAAACCTTTAGAAGCTCCACTAGCAAAGTTTTTCCTTTAGATTAACTATATAAATTAGGCAAGGACTGTATTGAAAAAGATTAAAAAATTTTAAAATAAAGGGATGAGCTTAAAGCAAGATAGCTAAGTCTTGTAAAGAAATAGTAATTTACCTAAAAAGGTGCGCTTGATTATATTTAAAATGTTGATAATGAAAAGGAATAAGAGAAAATTCATAAAATTGAAATGCCAGTAAGTATTACAAAGAGAAAAAGAATGAAGAAGAATAAAAATCCATTTGAAAGGGATAATGCTTAGCCCAAAGATAAAGATTTCGATGTATACCATAGGAATCAGTAAAAATTAGGAGAAACTCTAAAGCAATCGAGAATATTGGGCCTAAATAAGCTCTAATATGAAACAGATGAGGAGAATAAGAATGTTCATTAATCAACTTAATAAGTTGAAACCTTAGTGAATAGAAAATAATTAGAGAAGAAAACAATCAGCAAAGCCTCATAATAATTATATGAAGATAATCTTAAAGAATAGGATGTTTAAAAACTATAAGATTCCAATCAGAAACTTATCTCTAGCGAAGAAAAGCCTAATATCGCAGATAAAATGAGTCCATCTCAAAAGATTAATTAAGAAAATTCTGTTCAGATTGTCATTGATGATAAAAAAATAAAAGATGCCAAAAAGAATTTCAACAAAAACATTTTTGGAAAGAAAATTTAAATGCATAGTCCAGAAAGAAATCAAATCGAAGATAATAAACTCTTTCTCTAGTAATATTAATACGAATAAGAAATCCAGTTTGATATTGATAAAGTAGAGTTGCAACTTGATCATACGTTTATTAAAAAAAGTGATTGAACCAGAGTTGGTCAATAAATATATTATAATCAGAATTAATGTGATTATTTGTTTATTTTGATTTTATTTAATATTATCACAAGTGGGGTTTTGGGGTTTTGGGGTTTTGGGGTTTTGGGG